TCTGAGTTTGAGGCCAGCCTGGTTTACAGAGTTAGTTCCAGGACATCTAGAATTGTTATGAAGACAAAGCCTGTCTCAAAAGAAAAGAAAATAAGAAAAACTTGGTGTCCCTGGAGAAGATAGTTCAGTAGTTAATGTGGCTTCTCTTCCAGAGAATCTGGGTTCAATTCCCATCCTTATGACGAATAACAACTGTAACTCCTATGCCCTCTTCTAACCTTTATGGACACCAGGCATGAACTTACTGCTCAGTTACACATGCAGGGAAAACACCCACACACATATTAACCAGTTAGTTAATTTTAAAAATAAAATTGGCCAGAACCAGGCACCTGGGGCTGTTCTTGCTTCTAAATCAGACCTTAACTCCAGCAGTCACAGCTGGGGATGCTGTTCTTTCAGACTGGGAATTCTAGAGGCGTCCATCCCTGTTCCTGCTGCCAGACATAAGAATATGATTTCTTGTTAAATAAACCAAGCATGTTGGCCTGGTGTTATAGCTCATGCCTAAAATCCCAGCACATGGGAGGCAGAGGCAGGAGGATCACAAGCTTGAGGCCATCCTGGGCTACAGCGTGAGATTGATGGTGGAGAGTAGCCTTCCAGCATCTGCAGACGTGACCTGACACACTCTTCTTGATAACCATGGCTGGAGTCAAGGGAGGCCAAGCCAGAAGACCAGCTTTGGATCTGACTCCAAGACAAGTGGCTAGGATTCTAGAAAACGTAACAGGCCACGCAGGCCTCTGGGGCACAGGAAGACGACATGCAGCATTGTCGCACAGGTGGCAGTTGCTGCCAAGGCTGTGTGTGGCCAAAAGATCATACCCTCCACAAGGAAAGTGCTGGCAACCAGAGGCAGAGATGGCAGCACAGGAGCAAAGGCACCAGGTGGGCAAGAGGTAGGAGGACATCTTGACTAGGCCAGAGTTTCAGTTCCTAGGCTGCATCTTCCCGGACACAAGGAGTTCACGTCTGTGTACCAGCCCTGGAGCCCTGAAGTGTCTGCGGGACACCAGCCTCACTCTGTCTTACGGTAGAGCTGGGAAGGCAGACTAGCTTAGTCTAGTTGGTTTGTGTTCTCTGAAGAATTCCCAATGGCATCTTCACACAGCTGCCCTGTGAAACTGCCAGCAGTGACTACAAGGACGGGTAACACCCCACTCGACAAATGGCCGACCTCGGGTCCCAGGGAACAAAGTTACTGCATTAGAACTGTTTTTTATTTGTTTTGATCTGGCACAAATCTTATAGCCCAGGCTATATTATGTATTATATAAATTGTTATATAGCTGAGGATAACCTTGAACTGATCCTCTTGCCTCCACTGCCAAGATCAAAGGTGTGTTCAACAAACCTGTTTCAATTAGTGCTAATATGTTTAGATTTCAATTCCTCTCTTTACAGTCAAGAATTTGCGGGGGCTGGAGAGATGGCTCAGCGGTTAAGAGCATTGCCCGCTCTTTCAAAGGTCCTGAGTTCAATTCCCAGCAACTACATGGTGGCTCACAACCATCTGTAATGAGGTCTGGTGCCCTCTTCTGGCCTGCAGACATACACACAGACAGTATATAACAAAATAAATAAAGAAATATTTTTTAAAAAAAAAGAATTTGCCCACTTGATTCGCAGGTGTGGTAATATTTTGTTTGTGTTTTAACAAATAAAGCTTGCCTGAATATCAGAGTGCAGAACTAAGCCACTAGAGGCCAGGCAGTGGTGGCACACACCTTTAATCCCAGGACAGGTGGATCTTTTAGTTCAAGGCCACTAGAAATTGATCCAGTCTAAACGAGAAACAGCTCACACAAAGGAGATCCCACACCTTTACTCCCAGCACTAGGGAAGTGGAGACAGGAGTGATACGGCTGAGCAAAGAGGAATATAAACCGGGAGGAGACAGGAGCTCAATGCAGTCTAAGGACACGACTGCCCCTTTGGTCTGAGCATTGGTAGAGGTAAGAACCCTCTGGTGGCTGATTGCCAGGGCTATACAGAGAAACCCTGTTTCAAAAAAACTAAATAAATAAAAATGAAAAGGTGCAAGAACAGGCTAGCGGTGGTGGCACATGCATGCCTTCAATCTAGAGGCAGAGGCAGGTGGATCTCTTGAGTTCAAGGTCAGCCTGGTCTACAGATCAAGTTCTAGGACAGCCAGGGGGCTACACAAAGAAATTCTGTCTCAAAAATCCAACAACAACAAAAAAAGGTGCAAGAGTCTACATCAGCCATCACAACTTACTCAGCACTCAGTGCTGTGTCTAGCGAGCATGCCTTGGCCCTAGAATCCTGACTGGGTCTCAGAGATGGAATGAAGAAAAGATACACCGGGCGGTAGTATTGCATGCCTTTAATCCCAGCACTCGGGAGGCAGAGGCAGGTGGATCTCTGTGAGTTCGAGGCCAGCCTGGTCTACAAGAGCTAGTTCCAGGACAGGCTCCAAAGCTACAGAGAAACCCTGTCTCGAAAGAAAAAAAAAAAGAAAGAAAAGAAACATGCTCATATAGGAAAGCTGGGATTGTGTGGACTGTGCTCACGCTGATGGAACAGCACCCTAGCCACCAACAACTGGACCCCAGTGAATTTATTTTGTACAGCACGGGGAGGAGGAAGCTCATCTCAGAAGGTCTCTATTGGGGAGCAAACTCAGGTTGCAGTCATCCAGGCAGAGGAAGCTGCAGTTGCTGGTTTTTACACACACTGGTCGGTTGTTCTTAAACACTCTTAGTTGCACACACTGTTGTACTTGCACAAACTCCCAACATCTGCACTGGACCTCCTGAAGGCTCAGACCACCCAGGGGCCTGAGGTACTGTGGCCCTTGATATAGCCATGCCCATGTTAAACAATATACATTCACTCAAGACTTCATCTGTACTTTGCATGTTCCCTGAAGACTTTCACAGCTCCCTACAGCTCAGTGAGCTGCAGAACCTGCCACACTGGCCTACTTGCTTCCTCCTGAGGGGTGTGGAGTCAGCATTGCATTTGGATTTGGGGAGCCAGGCTTCTTAACCTACCGGTCCCTGCAGTTTCTCTAGTGTCAGGTACTGGGGCTGGCAGTCTTCTGTCTTTTCTTGCCTCCAACTCACCTTCCCACAAAGCCTACCATTTCGATCTGTACTGGATCTGTCAGCTCTTCTCAAGTCTTTCCAAGCTATTAGCTGACTTCTCCCTCTCTATCTTCCACTAAGAACATTCCTGAATCACCAAATGAAACCCACTAGCCTTTTGCATGCCCCTTCTTCCTATTCTACCTAACAAGTCTGTCTGTTCTAGCCATTTTCCCCAGGCTTGCCTGTCTAACCCTTCTCAGATTCTTCCAGTCCTGTCCTCCATCAGCTCAACATATTTTGAGGCAAGTTACAATCCGCTTCAAACCTGTTTTCCCAGCTATAAAACGAAGCTACTGACTCCTCACAATGGGATGGGGATACAGAAAAAGAAGGGAATCAGGGCAGTCTGTAAAGCATGGGCTTGGCTTGGGCAGGCAAGATGGCCCAGCAGATAAAAGGGGTCTGTTACCAAGCCTGGCAACCTCTGAGCTTGAAAGAGAACAGACTGCCTGTAATTTATCCTCTGGACTACTACACATGGGTGGTGACATGCATGCATTCATGCATGCATGCATACACAAAGTAAACATAAGAAATGTTTTAAAGTGTGTGCTCTTTCGAATATAAGCGTATCTCCAAATCTCCCCCACTGCACCACACACACAGTAAGTACCCTGTTTGCAGGGTGCCAGGAGACATTCTGACGGGGTGGAAGTGTGATCTGGGCCCTTCTGTCTAGCAGTCTGCAGTCACACACAGTCCAGACTCTTGAGATTTCATGGATTGGGTGCCAAACTGTATGAGCTTTGGGGAATCCTGGAAGAGGAATGAAGTTTCCTCTTAGGCTCTCATCAGTTTCATATGCCACTAGAAGCGTACTCAAACATCTAGGTACATGCAAGAAAGAGTCTTTAGTCTTATTTTTCATGCTCTTTGCCCATCATAATGTCATGGATTTGGGGAGGAGGTGTAGGGTTCATAGCCAGAGCTCAGGTTTCACTAGCATTTAAGGCTAATAACACTGTTGATTTTGTTTTTGTGTTTCTGTAGTGCTGGGGGTGGAACCAGGGTGTCAGTCCTGCATGCTAGGCAAGCACTGTACCCTTGAGCCAGAACCCCAGCCTTGGATTCACTCTAATAAGCCCTGGGAAGGAGGAGAGCCTGAATCTGCAGGGAAGAGCATCCTAAAGGAGTTGGGGGAGGAGATTGATGCTGGTAAGCACAAGTTATTTAGTTGACTGGAAAGACTGAAAGTTTGGAGTTAAGAATGACGATGGAAAATGACAAACACAATCTCTGAAGTGAGCCTAGGTTTGGGCTGAAATTTGTTGAGTGAATCCGTACGCATGGTTGTGGGTTATTTTTGCATAAAGAGCGTATACTGTGTGCTGTCGCTTCATCCTTCCAGGCCCCCATCTCACCCACTCAGACCTCAAGCTGATCAGCCTGGCAGGGACGGGGAGGGGGAGCCACACACCTTGAACTGGGAACCAAAAGCTGCGCAGAAGCTTGATGCCCTTACAGTAGTCCCCATCTGCACACCGGCACCCTAAGCCAAAGACAAGAGAGCATGGTAAACATGTTTTGCAAGAAGTGAGGTGCAGGTTAGAGAGCAGAGTACAGCATTCATGGACCCGAGGTTTACGCGTCCCTGCAATGGGTAAATGGGAGGGGTCTTAGGACCAGGGCAGATTGGCAGGATCAGCCTGTTTTAGGGCGCACGCAGTGATAAGCATCCCCACCACCAGTACCAAGTGGCGGGCGGTACCCAAAACGACTAAGCCTGGAAGAAAGGGGACACTAGGAGCCGTGGGTCTCGAGCGTCTCCCACAAATCGTAGCTATTGTGCGTGGTGGGGGGCGCGAAAGAGGGCAGGCGCCCTTCCCCGCCCCCGCCTCCGGCCCGCCTCCGGCCCCCGCCCCACCCCCGGCTCCGCCTCCACTCCGCCTCGCCTCGCTCCGGCCGCGGCCCCTTCCTCCCGCAGCTGGTGCCGTGGGGCCGCGGAACCACACATCGCCCGTCTCTATGGCCCCGGATCCCAGCGCAAAGGTGAGGGAGGCAGGGAGTGCGGGCGGTGGCAGGGCTGGGGGCCGCGGCCGGGCAAAGCCTTGTCCTCGTCCATTCCACCCTCCAAGATAGGCCAGGCCTTTCTCACCGCCGAGACCCCCGGTCCCGCATAAAAGGTTCTAGAGGGGTGCGGGCCAGGCCTCGGGTCGCACAGGGAGCAGACTGCCTTCGCGGAGTCGGGGTTCGCAGCGGGACAGAGACCCGCGTGGAGAACAATGTTCCCCTGGATCTGGGTCATGTCTCCTGGCGTCCAGCGGGATCGAAGGAGAGCTTGTCCCCTAGAGCTGCAGCAGTAGATACTGAGGTTAGATCTGATCAGAGGAGAGAACCGCGGACTGTCCAGGATGGTGGAGGGAGGGGAAGGCGAGGGAGAGGTGCCCTCAAGCCAGGAGAGACCGCCATCCTACTGGACAGAGGGAAATACCGCTAACCCCAGGCAGGTGGACATCAGGGATGAAGGTCGAGAGTCTATTGAGCTTATTGTTGGGGGGAACCCTCCCCAGTTTTCTCCACCCTAGGATCCAACTGAAGATGATCAGAGTTCAGCAGGCAGGCCCTGGGAAGGAACCCAAACTTGGAATGAAGTGTGGGGTGTGAACTGGAGACCTTGAACCCTCTTACCGCTGGGGGAGGGGTGGCATGCTCCACCCCCTGCCCCTTAACCCGGCCCTCCCAACAGGTTAAGTGGGGGCTGAAAGCTTCAGCCCAGCTCTCCAGATGTAGATGCAGTCCATAGGGGGAAAGGGGGGGGGGGCTGGTAAGGTAGCATTCCATCTTCCCTTGGCTAAATCTGAGGGCCTCCTCTCCGGGTTAGTTACCCATTCTCCCTTTCAAGCACTCACCCCAGGTCAAAAGCCCCTCACCCTAACACACACACACACACACACACACACACACACACACACACACGGAGAGGGAGAGAACTGGCCTTCCGACCAAGACCAAGACTTTCAGGAAAAGGGATGGGATTCTGCTGTGCATCTCAGCCAAAGCCGGACCCCTTAGCATTTCACCGCGAGTGTCTGTCTCTGCCCTATGTAATTGTGGTTGAGGTCTCTGAATACATGTGTGTGCTGTGCCTGGCATTTCACCGCTAGTGTCTGTCTGTCTGTCTCTGCCCAATGTAACTGTGGTTGAGGTCTCTGAATACATGTGTGCTGTGCCTGGCATTTCACCGTGAGTGTCTGTCTGTCTCTGCCTGATGTAATTGTGGTTGAGGTCTCTGAATACATGTGTGTGCTGTGCCTGGCCCACTATCAACTATTTTGTGTGCATGCCCCGTACAAATGTGTGTGGACAAGGAACTCCTGTTGAATAGGAAGCAATGTATGTGTCCTGCTTGTGCACCAGGGAGGATATGTGAACCACTGACTGACTGGCCTGTGGGCACAACCTTGTGTGTATTGTTACTGTGTGGCCTTGGCCCTTTGTGTGAGCATACTTTTGCTAAGCCTCTGGGGGGTGGGGGTGCATGACTCTTGTAAGTACATGTGCTCTCTGCCCTACTTAAACATGCGTGCACACCTGTGTGCAAGTGTCACATTCTTTGGGACCCACATGACCCAAAATAAATGCACACCTGGGCCGTGCACTGCGCACCAATTGGGTCCTCTGATCTAGGATCTGTTCTTCCTGCCTTGTCCTTGGCACTGGCTTCAGCCAGCCCATAGGGCTCCCCCTTCTGTGCTGAGCAAATAGGAGGCCCCAAATGTAAACAGGTGTGCCTTCACAGTCAGGTGGAGCTCAGGCAGCCTGGAACCTCCTGTGGCCCCAGCCCCCAAAACGAGAACTTGAGGCGCTTGCTCTCTGTGGTGCAGAGGCTCTCTTTGCTCCCTCTCATACAGTTCTAACTTTTAACTCTTGAACAGACTCTCCAAATTCCTGCTGTTCCTCTCACCAGCTCCAGATCCCTCCCCTCTTTAAGGCCAGAGAGTTAATATTTGACCCAGAAGGAAAAAGAGAGCACGGTGACACCCTCTGACCCTGCCTATGGGTGTCTAATGACATTGGGTGGATCAGGCGTCTTCCACACCTTGTCCAGCCCAGGAAATCTTTGAAAGTTCACCAGAGATAAGGGTGAGGCCTACCACCCACCTCCACCTCACCTGCAAGACTAAAGGTGGCCAGGATTTCAGGGTCCTATTTTCACTGTCCCCACGTTGTTGTCTAGGTCTTAACTGGTCTTGCACACACTGCCCTCTCTTGCACAGACATTACACTTGTGCAGCTCAGGGACCCAGATTCACGCACCTCACTCCCACCCCCTCACACTGGTGCTACCTGCCCGCAGTTAGGTCTAGCCAGTAGGGACTCGACTCGTGTGGATGCCCAGCCAGAGGGTGCAGTATGGACTCGCATGGGCAGGACAGAGATGTGCACCCCCTCAGAGAAAAATGCCAAAGAAAAGTGTCTAATTAAAGAGAAATTCCAAAGGGAGCTCTCAGGCCAATGGGAAAGAAAAAACAAAGGGGAAACAGGACAAAATTAACAAAGGCCCATTAACCGACTGCCCAGGCCTCCTGCGGAAGGCACCCCCGCAGGCAGCACTACGGGGGATAGGCCTGTCTGAGAACCAATGCTCTACCAGAATGGTCCCATTGTCTGACTGGGCAAGAGTGTTTCCATGGGTGTGGGTTAAAGCTGGTGTAGGGTCTTACAAAGGCGGTACCTTCACCACAGCCTTCTTTACCAGGGCAGAGATGGGCAAAATGCCTGTGAGTCTGTCCTGATGGGGGAGTTCTGTGGATGTCGGGCCTCTGTCCTTCAGTGCCCCCTGAAGTCTGTCCATGCCATCCGTCTGCCACCCACACACAGAGCAAAGAGTTTCCCATTTTGGAGGGATTTTGATTTTTTGTTTTGTTTTGTTTCGTTTTCTCCTTCAGAAAACAGAGAGAGAACTGAAACTCCCCCCCACACCCTTGTTTGGGGGCAAGGTGACCCCTTCAGTAGCCTACAACCCTGCTGGGACCCTCCGAGGCCCCGCTCTCCATGGAATTTGCGTTTGAGGCAGAAAGGCACGTGACCCATCCCTCCCTCTGACTTCTGAGCTGTGATTCCATGGCCACACAACCTTGTGGCTCCATGTCCCCCCCATTTCAGGATCCTCCATGGCCCTATGACTACTTGATCCCCATGGCCTCCTGACCCCTGACCTTCCATGTGATCACTACCCGGACTTTGACCCCAGAGATTGCTCTTCCCCTCCCATCTTGTGACTCTGGCCCTGGCTGCCTTTGGGGTCTTGTGGCTCTGAACTTCCCCAGGAAGATGTGGGGGAGGCTTTGGCCCCTCCTCTTCAGTTTCCTCACAGTAACAGCTGTCCCTGGACCCTCGCTGCGGAGACCCCCCCGAGAGCTAGATGCCACCCCACGGATGACCATCTCCTATGAAGGTTAGATCCCCAACCTTGAAAGGCGACGGCTGCCAGAGCTGGGGGCAGGAAGTAGCCCCCCAGACACCTCCCTGCCTCTCTTGTTCCCAGAACTCTCCCGGATCCGGCACTTCAGGGGCCAAGCCCAGAACTATTCAACCCTCCTGCTGGAGGAGGCTTCAGAACGGCTGCTGGTGGGAGCTCGGGGCGCCCTGTTCTCTCTCAGCGCCCGTGACATAGGAGATGGTGCTCACAAAGAGGTCAGCCCCTGGCACCTGGACCAACCATAAGGTCTCCAGCACCCTGGGATCTCAGTCACCCGGAGACTTCCCCAGCCTTCCAGCCCACTCCAGTTTCCCCTGTCCTCTGGAGCCCCACTGTGGGATTCTCTGGGTACTGGCTATTGAGGTCAATATTGCAGTCTGTTCCCTTCCTTCTCACTAGATCCACTGGGAGGCCTCCCCAGAGATGCAAAGCAAGTGTCGGCAGAAAGGGAAAAACAACCAGGTATGTGATCTGCCTGTTCCAAGCTCTCCTTTCTTCCTCCTCAGCCAGGGGTGCCGAGATTGGGAGGGACACAGATGGCACGGTACAGATGTACAGCCAGCAGCATGACCACAGTGAGCATCAGGAATGGTGGGCCTTGAGGCAACCCTTCTACCCCAGCCTCCATCCCCACCCCGGGGAAATCTCAAATTAGAATCCTAGCAAATAAGTAGCTGCTACCAAGTGACAACTAGATCTAGTTCTGAGACAGCCCTAAGGTGCTTTATTATCCCCATGCCACAGAGAGAAAAAATGAGACTTTACTGGAACAGTGGCCCAAGTGCCTGGTGCTCACGGAGGGACCTTACTCAAGTGTTAGGTCTTTCTAACTAGAAAGCAGGTGTCTGGCAGGGGAATCATCCGGCTGTATAACAACCAAGCACAGAGAGAGAGAGAGAGAGAGTGAGAGAGAGAGAGAGAGAGAGAGAGAGAGAGAGTGTTTGTATTTGTGTACTTATTTTGGAGTTATTTCATACAAGATCTTACTATGTATCCTTGGCTGTCCTGGAACTCACTCTATAGACCAGGCTGACCTCGAGCTCATAGAGGTTTGCCTGTCTCTGCTTTCTAGGGCCAGGATTAAAGGCGTGCACCACCACACCTGGCTGGAGAGTTTTTGTTTTGTTCTGTTTTGTTTTTCAAGACAGGGTTTCTCAGTGTAGCCCTGTCTGGCCTAGAACTCGGGGATCTGTACACCAGGCTGGCCTTGAACTCGGGGATCAGCCTGCCTCTGCCTCCTGACTGCTGAGATTAAAGGCATGTACCACCATACTTAACTGAGGAGTTTTTTAAAGAATGCACATTCTTGAGGCTGGAGAGATGGCTCAGCAGTTAAGAGCACTGACTGTTCTTCCAGAGGTCCTGAGTTCAATTCCCAACAACCACATGGTGGCTCACAGACACCCATAATGAGATCTGGTGCCCTCTTCTTGCATGCAAGCAGAACAGTGTCTACGTAATAAATAAATAAGTAAATAAACATTTAAAAAAAAAGAGTACACACTCTTGGACCGGCAACTGCTCAGCAGGTTAAGGCACTTGCTGCCAAGCCTGACAACTCACAAAAAGAGAGAACCTACTCTCACAGGTTGTCTGGTCTTTCTAATGTGTACCATAGCATAGGCACACACATACACACATGAAATAAGTAGATTAAAAAAAAACACATTCCAATCCAGTTATGGTGGCATATGCCTACAATTCCAGCTCTTGGGAGGCTGAGGACACACACACAAGTGCACATTCACACTGGGCATCGTGGTGGTGGATGCCTGTCACCCCAGCAGTTGGATGGTAATGAAAGAGGATTAGGGTTCACAGAAAGCCTTGGCCTCAAACTTTTGGGCTGTGACTCAATGAGTCTGCGGTGTGTCCCTCTAGGACTTCCCATCAGAGGCTACCTCAGTGCACTGTGGCTAATAAACAGAGCTAGTGGGGTAGGTGGACCCAGGTCACGAAAGGTTTGGACGGTATTGTGACAACGACACCCATTCTGTCTGATGCCTTGGAGGCCCTCACACATGAATTATAGGCTCCAGGTCAATAGGTCTGGAAAGGGCCCAAGATGTTACACCTCCGGAAAGCCTACTGAAGCTGATTGCTCTGGTTCTCAGACCACTTTGAGCAGCAGTGTCAGAGAACATGTTCCAAAGCATTATCCTGAAGAACGTTCATTTTCAAAGGCGGAACTGGTGTAGTACGTTTGGAAAGGACAACATTCCCAGCTCACAGTGACATCATTAAAGCTCCGAGCAGTCACCCGCCTGGTACTTTCCAAGCTCATTTGACTACAGAATTCGTCCCAACTGCCCTTTTTCTGTCGTAGGGAGCTACTCTAGGAAAGCTGGTCTTGTCCCACGTGCCAGGTGGATGAAAATAGACTGAGTCTAGAGACAGGAAGAACAGTGGAAAGTGTGGGGCTTCCTAGGGGTTAGAAAGACAGGTTAGAGACAGGAAGAACAGTGGAAAGTGTGGGGCGTCCTAGGGGTTAGAAAGAAGGCCTGAGTAAGCTGACAAGGAACAGGTGAGGGCTGCAGGAGAGAAAGTGGGGATAGGAGCCTTCCATGGATTCAGACTCTGGGTAACAGACAGGAGGATGGTCGAGGAGAACTGGACAGCAGCTTAGGCACCGGGAGGGTGCAGAGACAGCCATTGTGGCTGGAAGAGGTGGAATGAGCAGTCAGGGATCAAGCCCAGGGCCATGTGGGATTGTGTGCTGCAGGCACGGGAGCTGCTGCCATGCCCTGGTCTGTTTTACATCTGTGGCACTCTGGGAAGTGGATTGGACGGGAGCAAGAGGGTGTTGACAGATGGGCTATCCTGGAAGGGAACTTCGGACATGCTGTCTACGGTCTCCCTCACAGGCCACCTGGGAGACCGGAATACGGGAGAGGCTGTTGACAACAGGCCCCCTTGTGCTGTCTGAATGTTACTCCTGGAGCATCCCTCAGTCACTGAGTAAACAGCTGTGAAAAAGAGTAGCATAGCAGGTTAGGAGGGGGTCAGGTAGCCCCTAGAGTTGTGCAACAAAGAGGTGACGGTTATCAGTACTGGATGAAAACAGTGAAGTGGGCCAAGTTCAAGAACCCCTTGGCAGAGTGAACCATGGAAAGTGGCTGAATGTGGGGGTGAGAGAGTGGGCGGCAGCAAAGATGCTTCTGGACCAGAGCAAGGTGGATGCAGGTGGAGGTGGGAAAGACCGGATGAACAGGTTTATTTGGGTCAGGAAGAATGGGAGCTTGCTTTTTGCCAGAGTGAGACTGACAACAGAGAGAGAATTGGGATTTATGGGAGCTCCAGGATTAGGGAGGAGCATTGCTTAAAAGTAATTTTTGAGTAGCCAGGCAGTAGTGGGCGTGCCCTTAATCCCAGCACTCGGGAGGCAGAAGCAGGTGGACCCCTGTGAGTTCGAGGTCAGCCTGGTCTATTGAGTGAGTTCCAGGACAGCCAAGCTACAAAGGGAAAACCTGTCTCAAGAAACAAAAAAACAAACAACAACAAAAACCCCAACTTTTGAGCTCCTGTCAAACCATCATTCCCCTGAAATGGTCCCTGCCTTTGAGCACCAATGGCTCCTGAAGGGTAGGTGGAAGGGACTGCAGGAAACACAGACAGGAGAAGCTGCCAGAGTGGGGTCAGTTAGTGGGAAGCATCTTGGAAAGTATGTCCTATAGGTAGAATCAGACTGCAGGCCGGGCGGTGGTGGCGCACGCCTTTAATCCCAGCACTCCAGGAGGCAGAGGCAGGCAAATCCCTGTGAGTTTGAGGCCAGGCTGGTCTACAAGAGATAGTTGCAGGACAGCTAGGACTGTTACACTGGGAAATCCTGTCTCGAAAAAACAAACAACAACAAAAAAGAATCATACTGCAAAGCTAGACCAATAGAAATGGCTTCTATTCAGACAGAGAACTTACATGACTGCCTCCCTTTGTCTATAGACAGAGTGTTTCAACCATGTACGATTCCTACAGCGGCTCAATGCCACCCACTTCTATGCATGTGGGACCCACGCCTTCCAGCCCCTCTGTGCAGCCATTGTGAGTATTCCTATCCCTAGCCCTGACTGCTAACCCCAGACTGACCTGACCTGGGGCTGCAGCGCTTGCCTGTCTTCAGGACCATTGACTGATTGGGACCCTCATTCTCCAGGATGCTGAAGCCTTCATCTTGCCTACTAACTTCGAGGAGGGAAAGGAGAAATGTCCTTATGACCCAGCCCGTGGCTTCACAGGCCTTATCATTGGTGAGCAGACCCTCCTGCCGCCAGTCCTAACGCATAAGAATGCGATGATCTGAATGCGTATCTTGCTGCTAGGACTTGCCACTTATGCATGCCATATTCCCTGTTGTACATGACATGCATCTCATGTCTGGATGTCCCTGCCTCAGATGGAGGCCTCTACACAGCGACACGGTATGAATTTCGGAGTATTCCTGACATCCGCCGGAGCCGCCACCCACACTCTCTGAGAACTGAGGAGGCACCGATGCACTGGCTCAATGGTTAGGAGGAGGAGGTGCATGATGATGGGGGGCGGTAGGGGTCTGTTTTTTATTGTTTACTCCCTTGGGCAGATGACCATCTCATTCCCAGGTCTCCAGGTGGCCTGTCCATTTTGCGCATGTGTGTTGTGGATGGAGGTCGAGGGGGCGTGGCGGAGGGAAGTCGAGGGGGCGTGGCTGAGGGAGAGGTCTCAGGCTGTTTCATAAGCCTCCCAAATACTCAACCACAGATGCTGAGTTTGTATTCTCTGTGCTGGTGCGGGAAAGCAAGGCCAGTGCCGTGGGTGACGATGACAAGATTTACTACTTCTTCATGGAGCGTGAAGAAGGCTCCAGCAGCTTCACTCAGAGTCGCAGTAGCCACCGCGTGGCTAGAGTAGCCCGTGTGTGCAAGGTGCGTATGGAGAAGTCAGGATACAGTGTACAGGTAGAGGTTAGATCTCTGACCCTGATCCTGTGTTCCTACCTCCCCAGGGAGATCTGGGAGGAAAGAAAATCCTACAGAAGAAGTGGACATCCTTCCTGAAGGCTCGTCTCATCTGCCACATCCCACAGTACGAGACACTACGCGGCGTCTGCAGCCTGGATGCTGATATGTCGGTCCACACGCACTTCTATGCAGTCTTCACGCTGACAACACAGTGGTAAGCTCAGGGGTGCTGGCAAAGGAAAGAAACTGAGGACGTCTAAGGGCTGGAGCTGAGGTCAATGATGAGCAGGCTGCAAAATGGAGTCAGGCATGTCAAGCTCTCCTAGGGCCAGAGGGCACTGATGCCCAAGACAGGCCCATAGGCCTGAGGTGGACATGGACCATGGTAACAGTAGCTCCAGGTGGAGCGTGGGTTGGGGGCAGGTTCCATTCAGTGTGGCTAAGTTCTCCCCTATGTCCCATTCCTAGGAAGACCCTGGAGGCCTCAGCCATCTGCCGCTATGACCTGGCTGAGATGCAGGCTGTGTTCACAGGCCCCTTCATGGAGTACCAGGATGGTGCCCGGCGCTGGGGCCGCTATGAGGGTGGGGTGCCCGAACCCCGGCCTGGCTCGGTGAGCACTCAGGCCTGGAGCCTATGCTGAGTAGGCAAAGCCTTGGGAGGGGAGGCAGGTGATGGAGTCCTGCGGCTCACCACCCATTCCTCCAACCCAGTGCATCACAGATTCCTTGCGCAGACGAGGCTACAACTCGTCCCAAGACTTGCCATCCCTGGTCCTGGACTTTGTGAAGCTGCACCCACTGATGGCTCGGCCTGTGGTGCCCACACGCGGGCGGCCCCTGCTGCTGAAGCGCAATGTGCGCTACACACAGCTCACCGGAACCCACGTCAGCACACCTGCTGGACCCACCTATGACCTGCTCTTTCTGGGCACAGGTGCTCCTGATCCAAATCCCTGACCCCCTAATGGCCTTGGTTACTGAGACATCTGAACCCAGTAGCTCCTGCCACATTGGCCTGGAGCGCCCAGTGTCCTGAGGGACCACTGCTGGTGGCTGATTCCTGAGATGTTCCCGTTAGGCCTCCTGTGGGGTACTGAGAGCAGATGACACTGCTGGGTTCTGACTTTTGTCCATTCTACATCAGCTGATGGCTGGATCCACAAGGCCGTGGTCCTGGGCTCTGGAATGCACATTATCGAAGAGACACAAGTGTTCAGGGAGCCCCAGTCTGTGGACAGTCTAGTCATCTCTCCCCTGCAGGTAGACCTGACCTCAATATGCCAACAGAGAAGGGGGCTAGGGAGGCTGGGTAGGGACTGTGGGGTCGCTGACCAACTGTCCTCTTTGGTTCCAGCACAGCCTCTATGTGGGGGCTGCTAGTGGAGTCATTCAGTTTCCTCTGTCCAGCTGTTCACGCTACCGTTCCTGCTATGACTGTATCCTGGCACGGGACCCCTACTGTGGCTGGGACTCCAGCACCCATGCCTGCATGGTGGCCACCACCGTCGCCAACAGGTCCCAGGGTAGAGGTTGGAAGTAGGGATGGGAGACATGCCCTAAATGGAGTAGGAAAGGGATGTGAGCTGTTATTGGTAATCCTGCTGCTCACTTCTCCTTGTTCATGAACCTTGATTTTCTGTCCCCAGGACAGCATTGATACAGGACATAGAGAGAGGAAATCGAGGCTGTGAGGGCAGCAGGGATACAGGTGAGTCGAACTCACAGACCTGTGTGGATGTTTCTGACTGCCTGTGCTTGGATGGATTCATGAGGATGACCCAGCACAGGAAATGCTCAGTGGATAACTATTTCCCAAATACACTGTAAATGAAGAAGCAGGCTCAAGACTTGGAGACAGTCGAGCAAGTAACTCATTGGTAAAGAGCTTTTCTTAGCCAGGCATTGGTGGCACACGCCTTTAATCCCAGCACTCGGGAGGCAGGGCAGAAGAGGTGGTTCTCGGTGAGTTCAAGGCTAGCCTGGTTTACAGAGTAAGTTCCAGGACTGCCAGGACTGTTTCACAGAGAAACCCTGTCTTAAAAAAAAAAAAAAAAAAAAAAAAGAGAGCTCTTTTTTTCTCGTTATGTGGGTTTACTGTCTAGCAACACACACGAGAGAGAGACAGGGTGGGGAGTTAGTGACTTAGTGCTAGTTTTATGACCACATCTGAAGTATATGCCTAAGTGGTGGGGGGACGTGAATACAAAGAACTATCTGTAATTATTAATAACTGCAACTACAGCGAGGTGCAGAAGGGTAACGTGTTTATCTCCAAAGAAAGATTATGTCGCAGAGCTGATATCTAAAGGACTAAAGGAAGATAGTAATCGGAGCTGAGTACGTATGTGGCAAGCACTGATCTAAGCACATGTGTCTGTTCTCACAACACTCTATGTGAGAGGCCCCATCATCAGCCCCATGAGGGACAACCCCTCTGAGGCACAGGGAATATCAGGAAACTGTCCATGGTTACTCAGCTACGAAGCAGCAGGGTTAGAATCAACCTGGCCTGAAGCAGTCAAATTCAAGTTTGTACTTTTGATCCAAGCTGTGCCATCTCTAAGCTAACCAGGCAGGTTGCGGGCATGAGGAGGGCAATGGCACTCAAGCAGCTGGGTCAGCGGGAAGAGGGTGCTCAGGAGGAAAAGACTGGAGATGAGCAGGGACCGTGGCAAATGTTTTGGTCCTTATAAAAAAAGCAATAGGAAACCTCTGGAGAATTTTTTTTTTTTTTTTTTTTTTTACCAAGAAGTAACCTGACCAGACTCATCTTTTTAATTTTTTTTTTTTTGCTATTTGTTTGTTTGGTTGGTTGGTTTTTCAAGACAGGTTTCTCTGTGTAGCCCTGGCTGTCCTGGAACTTGCTCTGTAGATCAGGTTGGCCTCGAGCTCAGAGATCTGCCTGCCTCTGCCTCCCAAGTGGTGAGAATAAAGGTGTGTGCCCCCACCATCTGGCTTATTTTTTTTTTTTTTTTTTTTTTGGTTTTTCGAGACAGGGTTTCTCTGTGGTTTTGGAGCCTGTCCTGGAACTAGCTCTTGTAGACCAGGCTGGTCTCGAACTCACAGAGATCCGCCTGCCTCTGCCTCCCGAGTGCTGGGATTAAAGGCGTGCGCCACCACCGCCCGGCCCCATCTGGCTTATTTTTAAGACATTTAAAAACTATTTTATGGCCAGGCAGTGGTGGCGCACGCCTTTAATCCCAGCACTTGGGAGGCAGAGGCAGGCGGATCTCTGTGAGTTCGAGACCAGCCTGGTCTACAGAGCTAGTTCCAGGACAGGCTCCAAAGCCACAGAGAAACCCTGTTTCGAAAAACCAAAAAAAAAAAAAAACAAAAAAAAAAACAAACTATTTTATGAGTTCATTTTGCCTGCATGTATGTATGTGCACTGTGTGCATGCTTGGTTGCATTCCCTGGGACTGGAGTTATGGGTGCTTGTGAGCCACCATATGGGTGCTGGGACCAAACTCAGGTCCTCTACAGCAAGGGCAACAAGTGCTCTTAGCCACTGAGCCATCTCTCCAGCTCCTGTCTTAAATTTTTTTTTAAACTATATTTAGTTTGCTCCCAAGCATTTGTGTGAGGAGGATGTGTACGTCATGTGTAAGACACCTATGGGAGTCAGTTCTCTCCTTCCAACATGTGGGTCCCAGGGATTGTAAGACACCTATGGGAGTCAGTCTCTCCTTCCTACATGTGGGTCCCAGGGATTGAACTCAGGTCGAGCTTCGCAGCAAATACCTATATTTCCTGATCTATCTGGTCAGTCTAGATTTGTGTTTTCAAGGGATCAGCTGTAGTTGCAAGGATCGGAGACTGAACGAGGCCCCTAGAGGGCAGGCAGCCATGGAAGGAGAGAGGCGAACAGGTCTGAGAGTCTCATGAGAATGGACATGAGGAGAGGCAAGGGAAACTCCCAGTTCCTGATGTAAACGGCAGAGCCACTGGCGGAAGCGATTCAAAGGACCTGATATGGTTGATGAATGAGGTTTTGGCCTTAGTGAGATTCCCAGCAGGTGGTAAATATTCAAGTCTGGTGTTCAGGAAAGAAATCTCTGCTGAAGTAAAGATTAGGAGTCCTTGGTAGAAACCACTGGGGAGATGAGCTTAGAGAGAGGGGAAAAGACCCAAAACACTGTCTACTTCCCAGGCAGGGCCCATGTGCACCCTCATGCGCTCACAGGCTTGCTTAGCTGTCACCGACTCCAGACTTGGTGCCAAGAAGTTAGCTGTCTGCCATCTGTCTTGTCATTTCCAGTGCTGTCTGGGATGGGCAGCTATCGATCCTTCCTCTCCCATCCTCCCTAGGGCCACCACCACCACTGAAGACCCGCTCTGTGCTCCGGGGTGATGACGTCCTCCTGCCCTGTGACCAGCCATCGAACCTGGCCCGAGCTTTGTGGCTACTCAATGGGAGCAAGAGCCTGAGTGATGGCCAGGATGGCTACCGCGTGGGAGTGGATGGGCTGCTGGTAACAGACACACAGCTGGAGCACAGTGGTAACTATGGCTGCTATGCTGAGGAGAATGGGCTCCGGATGCTGCTGGCTTCCTACAGCCTCACAGTGCGGCCGGCCACCCCTGCCCCAGCTCCCCAAGCCCCTGCCATGCCTGGAGCACAGCTGGCACATGACATGAGGTTGTTCTATGTGGTAGCCATCGCTATACTTGGTGGCCTCTGCCTCATCCTGGCATCGTCCCTCCTCTATGTGGCATGTCTGAGGGGAGGCAGAAGAGGTCGCAGGCGAAAGTACTCACTGGGTAGGGCTGGCCGGGCAGGGGGCTCAGCTGTGCAGCTGCAGACAGTCTCGGGCCAGTGTCCTGGAGAAGAAGACGAGGGTGACGATGAGGAGGGGGCCGGGGGCCTGGAGAGTAGCTGCCTCCAGATCATCCCTGGGGAAGGAGCCCCAGCCCCACCCCCTCCACCGCCACCCCCACCCCCGGCTGAGCTGACCAATGGATTGGTGGCACTGCCCAGCCGGCTTCGAAGGATGAATGGCAGTAGTTATGTGCTCCTGAGGCAGAGCAACAACGGAGTGCCAGCCGGACCCTGCTCCTTCGCGGAGGAGCTCAGCCGCATCCTGGAAAAGAGGAAACACACACAGCTGGTAGAGCAGCTGGATGAGAGCTCTGTCTGAGCCTAGCCTCCCAAACAAATGCTCTTCCAAGCCTGGCTGCCCCAGGCTGGGCCTCTGCTCCCCAACACAGCCACCCTCCTTCACGCCCCCAACTCCATTCCCCTCTCCCAACTTTGATGTCTCTGTAGGGCTGGCCAGAATCATGGTTAGCCAAAGCCCCCTCTTCAGTCTCCAAGGCACACATGTGAGCAGCCCAGGCCCACCGGTGCTCCTCCAAGGTAGGTGCTCCCTCAGGACCATGCACTCTGCAAACCCAGACCCAGTTTCTATCCCTTACCCTAAAAGCTTGGGAGGAGAGGACCGTTCTCTTATCCCATTACCTGCCCACCCTTCCTCTTCTCCTCAGGTAGGGCTCTGCAGGTCCAGATGGCCTCAATGCTGCCACCCTCTGCACAGCTCTGTGTGCTGGGTAGTCCTGAATTCAGACAAGACCTCTCTCTCTGCCAGCCATCCGAGGCCTGCTGACATTCCCATGTGCACATGAAGAATGTTTTATCAGCTGGGCTGCAGTGTCCCTCCTCCTGGTATCATCCCGCCTAGATTCGGGGGCACCCTCCCAATTATCACCTTCCTATCTCTAGTCCTATTTCCAGTCCCAGTCCCGTGTGGTAATCCTTTGGCACGAGTCTGGGAATAGGCCAGCCTGGGAGGTAAGAGCCATCACTCCCTCTTCTCCCTTCCTGCGGAGCCCTTGTGAGTCCGCCTCCCTGCTCCTCTCGTTCACACGCAGGAGTGCCAGCACTCCAGGCCTGTCCTCTTCCCGTGCGTATGTGCTAACACACCCGTATCATCTGCTTCCATGTCCACCCGCATACACATTCAGAGCCTCCCCTTGCTGCCTCAGTCAGGCTGTGTCTACTAGGTTTGGTCCGCGGATATTTCAAAGGGAGATTTCCCCTCCCATTTAGCTGTCCTTACAGAACTAGGACAAGTGACCAATACTGCACTCAATGAGCCAGCCTCCCTCTTAGGGACCAAGCAACTGCTTCTCCTAGACCACAACAGGGGGAAGTGACTTGATATCTCACCTGGCACATGAAGCCCGTTCTTGGAACTATGCAAAGGGCAGAGGCTGGGAGTTTGGATGCTTGGCTCCCATTCCTGTCCTACCTCACCAGGGCGCTTTCAAGGTCCAATGGTCTCAGATGTTTCCAGGCCCATATGGGACAATCAACCCTGACTGAGCTCTCCCATTCCCCTTGGGTGAGGATGACTGTTATTTTTGTAGCTGAGAACGTGGAACCCCACGAGTTTTTACTGCCCTTCACCCATACCTCTCCCACCTCCACCCCACAATGAATGTATTTATTGTGAGAATGGCTGTACTTTTCAGGAATGCCCCCCACTCACCACCCAGGTGGGTGCAAGAGGCATGTGATGGATCGGGGAGCCTGGGCTCTGCTCCTCATGTTGGTTAATAAAAGCCCTCTTTCCCCACAGCTTTGAGTGTCTGCTTGGTCTAGACTGTCTTTACCAGGGACAGGTTTCTGGCCTATGGAGAAGGTGCTGCAGAGATTTCCTCATCTAGGGTTGGCTTTGATCCCCATAAAAATATTTACATAAGGAATGAGCTGCTCCGCTCCTGCTGTACCTGAGCTGCGCAGGCACAGGGCCACTGGCTAAGGCTCGGATTAGTCATTGATAATGAAGGTGACGAAGTCACAGCGGCTCAAGAACCCACAGGGCTCCTAGCTCTTTACTCCTGGCTCTGCCCCTGGCTTTATCAGGCTGGTCACAAACTCCTGGGTTCAAGTGATCCTGCTTGTCTCCACCTCTGGGATATGTGGGACTACAGATACACAGCACACTCGGCTCATTGCTCTAAAAACAAAAACACTTGTGTGTGCATGTACTTGAACACGCCAAGGTGAGTGTGGAGGTCAGAGGCTCAGGACAGTCTGCTCCTCCTTCTACTGAGTCCTGACAACTCAAGGTTGTCAGGGTTAGCAGTGATTGCATCTACCCACTGAGCTATCTCCCCAACCCTGCCTTTTTCCTTTCTTTTTTAAAGACTTGGTCTCATTATGTAGCCCTGACTGGCCTGGGACACTCTATGTAGACTAGGCTGGCCTTGAACTCATCCATCTGGTTGCCTCTGCCTTCCAAGTGCTGGCAATGAAAAGCTGTATCATCATATCAAGGCCTTTGTTGGGTTTTCTGTCTGTATGCAGCCTGTGTACCACCTGCATGCCTGATGCCCTCTGAGACCGGGAAGGTCAGATCTGCTGGAACCAGTTACAGATGGTTGCAGGGTGCCATGTAGGTGCTGGGAACTGAGCCTGGGTCCTCTGGAGGAGTAGCCAGTGCTCTTAATCCCTGCTTGTCTCTAGCCCCAGCCCTGTCTAAGGCTGGAAGACACTTCTTGCCAGTCGTGGCGCTCTTCCCTATTTTTCAGCACTTCCCACTCCTTGATCCAGGGAAAGATAGGGTTTCTTTCTATTTTTTTTAAGATGTATGTATGTATGTATGTATGTATGTATGTATTCAGTGTTCTGCCTGCATGTATCCCTGCAGGCCAGAAGAGGGCACCAAATCTCATTACAGATGGTTGTAAGCTCATGTGGTTTCTGGGAATTGAACTCAGGAACTTTGGAAGAGCAGGCAAAGCCATCTCTCCAGCCGAAGGGCTTATTTCTGTACAGAGAATTTGGGTTAGGAGTGCAGTTAGGACTACAGAAAGCTTGTTATCTGGGACCTGCTCTGGGAATCTGAGGCACATTGCTTCTGACACTAACCACTGAAAAAATTTATGTTCTGCCTCTGGTTTTAGAGTCAAAAGTAGAGCTTATGCATAAAATACGCATGCATTTTGAGCCAGGCACAGTGGTCCACATGCCTTTTAGTTGCAGCACTTGGGGGTGGGTCTCTGATTTCAAGGCCAACCTGGTCTACACAGTTTCAGGACAGCCAGAACCACATAGTGACACTCTGTCTTGAGGGGGTAAAAAAACACCCTTTGAAGCATGACCCTGAGGGGCTGGAGAGATGGCTCAGATGGTTAAGAGTACTGGCTGCTCTTTCAGAAGATCCAGGTTCAATTCCCAGAACCTACAAGGAGGCTCACAACTGTAACTCCAGTTCTAGGGCACCTTCCGCCATTTTCTGGCCTCCAGGGGCATTCTCCGTCTGGTGCAGACATACAAGCGGGCCAAACACCCATACATATGATAAATAAATAAACCTCCAGATGTGGTCTTAGGTAAGTTTTAATGACTTCAGTTTCCTTTTTTCCTGTTTGTTTTTCCAGACAGGGTTTCTCTGTAGCTTTGGAGCCTGTCTTGGAACTTACTCTGTAAACCAGGCTGGCCTCAAACTCAGAGATCCGCCTACCTCTGCCTCCTGAGTGCTGGGATTAAAGGTGTGAGCCACCACTACCACCCGGCGACTTCAGTTTTCCAATCTGCACACAAACACTCACAGATATAAGGTGACTTGCCCAATGCCAGGCCACAGCAAGAGCAACAAGCATCATGGGTTCTTCAGAAGTCAACCTTGACTTCACTGCGTTTTGAAATCATAATTTTGATTTCAGAAAACGAGGACCCCGTACAGCACTTGGAAGCCTTCTTACATTCCAGTTGCAGGAGGCCAACAGAATCAGAATGAGGGTATTCATTAGGTCACTGTATCTAGCAGTGGGCAATGGTAGCAGTCAGCTTTTCTTTATCCCGGGCCACGCCCCCTCCCCATCCCGGTAGGTTCCATTTATTTGCCAGAGCTTGAAATCCGAAAAGAGGAACCAATGCCATCGCTTCCACGGTCCAAAGCCTGGTTCTTTACTGTGCTTGTTCCAAAGCTGCAGCAGGATCCTGGAGTTCTCTGGGCCGCAGCCCGCTGAGGGCTGTCCGTTTGTTGGTGAAGGGGTGCCACTGGCCCTGGATGCTAGGGTTGTCGGTGTGGAAGGGCTTGCGGATGCGGATCACATCCAAGCCGGACTGGTTCGCCAGCTTCTGCACCAGTGACGTGATCTCCTCCACCGACTTGCTGTTGACATTTTCCTCGTGTACGGTCCCGTTAACTGGCAGAGGGACGTGGGAATGAGTGGAAACCGTCAGGTCGGAAGTCAAAACAAGAAGAACCCGGCGGGCAAGCGAGGATCCCGCCCTGCCGCCCCAGCGAGGCCCCACTTACGGTATTCGGCCACTATTCTAGGCACCGCACACGGCCGTGGGTTCACGTAGATTACGACCCCTGGGTTCCGTCGGGCGAAGTCGGTCACTTCACGTTCCACGAACTCCCTGCGAGGCCCAGCGAAGGTGAGAGCGGTGACCCGGACCCAGTCCCGTCGTTCCCCGCGCCCCCTACCCCGATCCTCCCGCTCCCGTGGGCCTCACCTGGCGCCGCGGGACGAGGGCGCATCCCGACTGAGGCTGAGGCTGAGGCGCTGCAGTTGCTGTACGTAGCGACCCAGCCCGTTATGGAGGACGCTCGTCAAGAAGCGGCTCGGGGTCCCGCGCGCGGTCATGGCTACCGCTTGGCAGCCTGGACTGCCAGAGGGCGGGCGGGACTAACCAGAGACTTCCGGTTCTGGGTTCACGGGCTTCCCGGAGAGTTTTGCTTCCGAGGTCACAGCGAGTGGCGCGTGCGGGCGACCCACGTTGCGGGCGAAAGGGTAGAAAGGAGAACTGGGGGCGGGAGCGTGGGTGTCCTGGAGCGCGGGGTAGAGCCCGGGGGGCAGTGAGAGCGCCGGGCTTCAGCTGTGACCTTCAGCTGGGTGGAGGGTTCCCAGTGAGAGTTAGGAGCCGAGGAGAACGCCTGTTGTTGGGGTTCAGGCAGGATGCAGAGGGCTGTAGAGATGAGGATGGCGAGGAGAGTCCGTGGAGGGGTGTAGAGGTGAGGAGATGAGACCGAGAAGCCGTCTAGAGGGACCGTAGAGGGTTCCAGAAGTGAGCTGGTAGCGAGAAGTTGTAAAGAGAGGGACCGAGACGTGAAAGGGTCGTGTAGCTGAGCAGAGATGTGAAGTAGCAATGTACAGGCACCAAGGGGATTGAGAAGGGTGTCGGTAAGGCAGCGGTTTGAGGGGCGATAGAGAGAAGCCAGCTATCGGAAGTCCTGGGGGTGCTCTGTGGAAGGCTCCTAGGGTCTAGCCTAGTGAAGGCGGCACACCAGACACCAAAAGTTTTGGCAGTAGAGGCATCCCACTCTATTAGGAATGTGGTTCCTGCTGCGATGTACTTACCCCTTCCGAATCTTGCTGCCTCTGCGAGGGGAGTGGGTGAGTCGGAGGGGCCTGCCCCGAAGCTTGACCCCAGGCCCTCCTCGCAGAAGGTACAGGAAGGAGGCGCTCCCAGCCTTAGAGGTGCCAGTGTCGCCTGTGACTACAACTGAAATCCGCCAATATTTACGGGCGCATGGGATCCCGTTCCAGGATGGCCACAGTTGCCTTCGAGCACCAAGCCCCTTTGTTGGGTCTTCAGATATCAAAAACCAGAAGGATTCGACCGCTTCCTTCTGCCTCTTCATTGACAAGACCACAGGACACTTTCTCTGCATGACTAGCCTAGCAGAAGGGAGCTGGGAAGACTTCCAGGCCAGTGTGGAGGGACGAGGGGATGTGGCCAAAGAGGGAATCCTGCTTACTGAGGGCCCGGAAGCTGAGGACAGAGAGGAGGTCCTGAGAATCTGGAACCGAGCTATCCCTCTCTGGGAGCTACCTGATCCTGAGGAGGCCAAGCTGGCTCGTGTGATGTTTGGCCTATCCAAGGTGTCAGATGACACGCTCAGGAGGTTCAGCGTCCGCTATCTCCGATCTACTCGAAGTTTGGTCTTCCCTTGGTTCACCCCTGGGAGTGCAGGATTACGCGGCCTGAAGCTACTAGGGGCTGAAGATCAGGGGAATGGAGTACAGTATGTGGAGACCACCATTCCCCGGCCTGGTGTCTACCACAACCTATTTGGACTACCACTGATTGGCCGTCGGGATGCGGAGGTGGTCCTCACGAGCCGTGAGCTGGACAGCTTGGCCTTGAGCCAGTCCATGGGGCTGCCCACCCTTGTCCTACCCAGAGGAACGGTCTGTTTACCCCCACCTTTACTCCCTTACCTTGAACAGTTCCGTCGAATTGTATTCTGGCTAGGGGATGACCTTCGGTCCTGGGAGGCCGCCAAACTGTTTGCCCGAAAACTCAATCCCAAGCGATGCTCTTTGGTGAGGCCTGGTAACCAACAACCTCGTCCGCTGGAGGCCTTAAACCAAGGCTTAAGTCTTACTCGTATTCTCCGTACTGCGCTCCCTGCCTGGCACAAGTCTATTGTGTCTTTCCGGCAGCTCCGGGAGGAGGTTCTAGGAGAGCTATCAAATGTGGAGCAAGCGGCTGGGGTCCGCTGGAGTCGCTTCCCAGACCTCAATCGTCTGCTGAAGGGGCATCGCAAGGGCGAGCTCACGGTGTTTACAGGTGACTCACTAGGAAATCACTATTTTGGGAGCTGGAGAGATGGCCTAGTACTTAAAAGCACTGGCTTCTTTGGCAGAGGATTCGAGTTCACTTCCTAGCACCCAGACAGCAGCTCACAACTGTCTAGCTGCAGTTCCAGGGGGTCTGATGCCCTCTTCTGACCTCTGAGGACCCCAAGTATGCATATGATGTACAGACATACAGGAAGATGAAACACTTATACCCATAAGATAATGTTAAAAAAAAATCAGTTTTACAACTGGGCAGTGGTGGCATATGCCTTTAATCCCACTATTTGGAAGGCAGAGGCGGGCAGATCTCTGAGTTCAAGGCCAACCTGGTCTACACAGAGAGTTCCAGGATAGCAAAAGCTGTTATACAGAGAAACACTGCCTTCAAAAACTGTTTTGGGTTAAGGGTTAGACCATAAAGTGACAAAGGTATGTGGGTTTTGGCCACTGACTGTGTTCAATTTATTTATTCTTTTTAGGTTTATTTATTATGTTATGAATGTTTTGCCTGCATGTGTGCATTGCGCAACATGTGTACCTTGTGTCCTCAGAGGCCAGTAGTCATAAGCCTTGGAACTGGACTTACAGATGGTTTGTAAGCCATCAGATGGGTGCTAGGAATCAAATCTAGGTCTCCTGCAAGAGCAACAAGTGCTCTTAAGTGCTGCTGCATCTCCAGCCCCCACGGGCAGTGCTAAAAGGAGACTTCCCTCCTAACTCAGAGCTCTGTCTATCCCCCTATAGGGCCAACAGGGAGTGGAAAGACAACATTCATCAGTGAATATGCCCTGGATTTATGTACCCAAGGGGTGAACACACTTTGGGGTAGCTTTGAGATCAGCAATGTGAAACTAGCCCGGGTCATGCTGACTCAGTTTGCCGTGACGCGGCTAGAAGAGCAGCTGGACAAGTACGAAGAGTGGGCAGACCGCTTTGAAGACCTGCCTCTCTACTTCATGACCTTCCATGGGCAGCAGAGCATCAAGTAAGATCTCCAAAGGCCACTTACTTTTTAAAAAGTAGTCTTGAAATATTAATTAATTAATTAATCTGTTTATCTATCTATCTGTTTACTTGAGACAGGGTCTCTCTAGGTAGCTCTTACTGCCCTAGAACTCACTCTGTAGACCAGGCTGACTTCAAACTCACAGAGATCCACCTCTTTCTCCCTTCAGAGTGCTGGGATTAAAGGCGTGCACCACCATGCCTGGGCTTTCATTTTTGAGAGATCCCAATACATTGTGTTTTTATTCCCTTTCCAGCCCCCGTGAGAGTACTTTCCCAGTCTCCTTAGACAGGCTTGCAGTTTCCAAAGAGTGGGAAGTCAGAAGAGCATGTGATACCAGCGTTTTCCAGTGCAAGCTCTTCTCCCTGCAGGGGGTCCTGAGGCTGCTTGTAGTTGATTGTTTGAATCGCTGCTGCTCTGTTCCAGGTCTGTAATAGATACAATGCAGCACGCTGTCTACGTCTATGATGTTTGTCATGTGGTCATCGACAACTTGCAGTTCATGATGGGCCATGAGCAGTTCTCTTCTGACAGGTGAGTTCTTCCTGTCTAACTCCAGCGCACTTGTCCTGTCGTGAAGCTGACCTCTAGGGACAATCATAGTCCTGTTACTTTCTGAGAGGTTGTGCAGGGGGAGTTGTCCAGGGACCTGAGTATGAGTCCTTAAGCAGAAGAGAGTTGTGTAGGGCTGGGATCGTTTGTATGGAACGACTGGCTCAAGAGTTTGTGTATTTTCCACCCAATAACTTCTTTTATTGCTGAATTTCATTGCAGGATTGCAGCTCAGGACTACATCGTTGGAGCCTTTCGGAAGTTTGCGACAGACAACAGCTGCCACGTGACTCTGGTCATTCACCCACGGAAGGAGGATGACGACAAGGAGCTGCAGACAGCTTCCATTTTTGGTTCAGCCAAGGTGAGTCGGCTTTCAGGCACTCAAGCTCTGAGAAGTTAGAGAGCAGGCGTACCTAGAGACAGTCTTCCTTCAGCCTTAGTTCCTCAGGACTGCCCTGAAAAAGCAGGAGGCAGCACTTCTGGGGCTGTGACATGAGGAATACATGGGCCAGGAATACAAGGGATCGTAGCTGGTTCTTTGCCATCTGGGAGCTCACATCTGTTAGTAGGGAAAAGAGTGACGTCATCATTGCAGCTCAGTGGGGTGAGAGCTATGATAGGCAGCACGAATACATGGTGAGCAGTCTGCGTCATCCTGTGACATCTGGGGAGACTTCTCGGTGGCTGTACTGAGGTTTCCAGACAGTAAGTATCAGATTATCAAATAAGGGAAGGCCTCCTGGGCCTCAGGACCAGCTCCATCCCGAAGCCTCCAGTGGTATACTAAATTCCTTTTACATGTCAGGCCTGAGCTAGGCAAGGGGAGTTCAGGTTGAGGAGCAAAAATATGTTGCTTTGGAACAAGAATAATGCAGAAGTTTAAAAAAGAAAATTGGTGGTACTATCTTTAGAAGATCAAAAGCGGTCCTTGGGGAAGTAACAGATGATTGGTAAGAATGTGCTGGGTAGATATAGGATAATCCACTATAGAGGAGAGACATTGCAGGCAGAGGGAGCAACACAAAGTCTGAGACAGCAGCAAGCTGGTTACGAGGCTGGGATAGTCAGCAGCTCTAACATCAACTGGGATTCATTGTTTAAAGAGCTTGGTGATAGGGGGTACTTTTTCCATTCCCCATTATTTAAAAAAAAATGTGTAGGGGCTAGAGAGATGGCTCAGTGGTTAAGAGCACTGACTGCTCTTCTAGAGGACCCAGGTTCAATTCCTAGCACCCAATGGCAGCTCATGTCTGTGACGCCAGTTCCATGGGATCTGGCATTCTAATACATACCTACAGGCAAAATACCAATCCATATAAAATAAAAATAAAGTTTAGAAAAGTTTGTTTAATGTGTATGGGTATTTAGCCTGCATGTTTATCTTTGCATTACATGCATGTTGGTGTCCGCAGAGGCCAGAAGGTGGCATTGGATTTCCTGGGACTAGAGTTACAGACGTTGTGAGCTACCATTTAGATGCTGAGAATTGAACCTGGGTCCTCTGGAAAGCAGCCAGTGTTCTTAGCCACTGGATCATCTCTTCA